CTGAAGTGATGCCCGTTTTACCCGTGAGTGATGTACCGTGGGATTTCAGTGCCTAAATTCCACATGAGTTTCACTTTGAAGAGTTAAGTGGTTGTTTTGGGTTTGACATCTAGCAGCTCATTTAAGCGCATGGTGCAGAGGAAACATTGCCGAAAGAGATGTAAATGCTTAGGACAAGAAAATTGTGCCTCTCTCTCATACTAAAATTAAGTCAATCGTGCAGCTGCTGAGAGTGGAGGGAGTGGTTGATGTAATTTATTTGGATTAAAAAAGAAAATCCTTGTAAAAATATCCCTACCAAGAAGTCATTAAAGCAAGAAAGTCTTGAGGAAGTAAGAGCTACAGTAGTTGTGCATTAGAAACTAAGATGTAAAGCAGGATTGAATGGTCAATATTTTATCATGGCAAAAGGCTAATGGTGTAGCGCCCCAGCACTCAAAATGGGGCTATCGGAAGAAGGGATGACCATGCTATCTGAAAGGTGGCACTGTTTGCTGTTAGGGAATTATTTCAGTTATTCAGAACTAGGGACGTTTGTGAATGACCTGGGTTAACAAAGTGAATACATGGGCAGCGTGATGCTGATGAAGTGCAATGCTGACAAATACAAGGTTGGGCACACAGTCAGGGAAATAATTGGAAGTATGTGTAGGCTTTGCAAGGTTCTAAATTAACCATAACTATGTAGGTCATTACTTGCTATGATCAACTCAGTGGAAAAAATTGTGTTGTGAAGGGATACGGTGTGAAAATAAAAGACGATGTGAGCCCATGTGGACAAAAAAGAAAAAAGCACCAAATAGAAAATGCAATTCCGTCCCTAAATCAACAGTAACAGCTCACCCATGATTTTGTTCTTGCACTATCTCTTTTAAAGCATACTGACAAAAAAAATAATTGTGTGGACTGGCAACTAAATGATTAGAGGACACGGAGGAGGCTGAAAACAAGGATTTTTTTAGAAAGGTGTCAAGTAATGGGAGATGGAGGGCTCGGATTTAAAACAATGAGTGGTGTAAGGAGTACAAGCTAAGAAGTTTCTATTTATCCTGCTAGAGCAAAAGGAAGCAAAGCGGTATATTTAAAATGAATGAAAATGAATTATTTTCATGAAAACCTCGTTAACCTTTGGGACTCATTCTCTTAAGTAATCATAGAGGCCGCAAGTTCAGCAGCATTATGCTATTTTAAAGTAATCCTTATGCTACAAGAGGACTGGAGCAGTTACTGCAGACAGCTTTTCAGTGCTGCTTATTCAGAGAGCTTGCATCTGTCAGGAAAGCCCGCACAGATACAAACCTGCTGCTTCCTGCTTGTGAATCAGACCTTTTAATGCGCAAAGGTGTCTTTTGTGCTCAGCTTTGGTGTTGCTAAACTTAAAACTGTTTGGCTGTGCAGCACCTCTATTGCGCCTGGGCTTCCACTCCAAAAGACAGAAGGAGGTGTGCACCCGAGGAGGAAATGGGTAAGAATTACTTGAATTTTGCTGTAGAAGAGTTTTCTTGAGAAAACTCCCTGTTCTGAATGTTATTATTTCCTCAACTGTGACTTCTCCCCGCCTGGGATCCTGGACTGACGACTTCAGCAGCTGGTGCATTACATGGCATGGTCCTTTAAAATCTCCTGGCTGCCGAGCTGAGGCTTGTATGATTTTCAGTAGCATTTATAACCACTGAGGCTGCACCATGGTGTGATCCGGTTCACGTGCCAGGAACTTTGATGGGGAGCGGCTGAGATTAATGATGACATAATACAGTAAGAAGAGATATTAATGCTCTTAGGCATGAATTAATGAAATACCATTGAGACTTTATCCTGCATGAATAAAAGGATTTGGAAGTTGTCGTTCTAAAAACCACATGAAGGATTTTACTGAAAAAAAAAAATCCCACCACTGAATGCTGTTGAGAGAGACAGGGTCCTAATGAACCTTTACTCCAGATTTTTGTCAGAGCTGGATGATTGAGCCGGATCCATTAATTGGATTCCTACTAATTTACAAAGCGTTTATATAAATGAGAGGCACAGATCTCTTGCTTCCAGGGCTGTGGCGGTGCTAATTTTTATCCTTGACTCAATGCAAAGCTGGTTTCCAACCTGTGGTGTAGTTGTGGCGTAGAGACTGAGCACGCCAGCAGCGTCCATAAATCTGGGGCCCTTATCTTAGTGTAGCCATACTGCAAGACCCTTGCTTAGTGAAATAGTAGCAGTGCTCTTCATAAATGTGGAAGGTGACTGTCACCATCTATTAAAAATAAATCTAAGGTATGCTTTACTGTGACCTCCCTGGTGTGGGTCTCTGCAGGGCTACAGCTGAGGTGGAGCTGAGGAATTACTGCTGTGTCCCATCACTTTTCATTCTCCGTTGTCCTCTAGAATTAGTGAGATAAAACCCCAGTGAAGATGTTCGTGTGTGTTTACATAATTGTCTGCCTGTAGTTTCTCTTGATTTGAAAAATAATTTTATTCAGGGATAAAACTTTACATTAGCGTATGTTGTCATATGATCAAGAACAAGTTCTGTTAGTTTTGAGGCAAGGTGGGATAACAGCAGCACACAGGGACTGTGTACTTTGTTGTTGTTGTTAATGTCTGAGGAGTTCAGAAAAAAAATTCCTTAAAGATTAGGACATAAAATATGACACATATTTTATCCATAATTTATGTCAATTTGAAACACCTTTTATTGCCTACATAAGTGAATATATGTAAACTTTATTAGTAATTTCATTTCCAATTTAAAAGAAGCAAAGGTGTATTGTAGAATTCACAGATAAAGGTTAATTTTAACTATAAAGGTATTACCAGTGTTGCATTTCTTCATGTTATGGTTCACTTATGTAGAATTGAGATGTATTTTATATTAAACAATGCATAGCACCATTATACAACAGTTCACTAAATGCACATCCCATTTAATCTTTCGTAGGAATGAATATAACTGGACTGAAGTTACAAGGAAGAATTGAACTGCGCCAGTAGGGTTAACACTGATACTAACAGGAGATTACTAGCCATAAGAAAATTACAGCTCTTCTGAAAGACAGTGCCTAAAATAGCAGCATATCCTTGGCACCATCATAGGAACTGGTTAACTGATGACCCTGAAGAAACGCTTGTTTCCATTAATTCTGCTGTCATTATTTCACTATTCTCGAACTCTTCCTCTGAATTCTTCTGTCCTTCTGATCCCAAGAGAAGATGGCAGGAAGGTGAGAGAGGACATAAAGAAATTACAATAAGCTGTCGGCTATATAATTATTTTGTAACCTACTACACTGAGAAGTTACACCAACAGAAATCTGGCGAGGTATCGGCTGCTAGCTGCTAGCTAAACACAGGACGCTCACTAGCATAACATGTAAAAAAAACCCAGGTTCACTAAAAAAAAAAAGCAACATCTACATTACAAAGAAGCTAACAAAAGAATTCCCTTACGATACTTAGGTTCAGCTGGTTCATCTTAGGTTCATCAGCTACATTTCCTTGTTTTATGAATAATTCTTACATTTGCAATTGAATATATATTTAAGACCACAACGCTACAAACCTTTCTCCGGCATGTAGTTTTGCCACCTTTAGTGAGACACAAAGGAGTACTTGCTCGAACTAGGGTTGAAGATTCTGCTGAGAGTTGGCGATGTTATTAGGTCATGAGTACTGTAACTACTTGAGCACCACAATTTTTAAATCCCTAAGACATGATTTCCTAGCTAGAAGGCAGCAAGTATGCTTTTAAGTTGCCAGACAGACCAAGGGAATAATTTTTGCTCCAAAGAGTCTGCTCTGTACCCTGAATCGCAAAAAATTCTCATTTCATAGAGACTTCAGATTTTTAAAGCATCTCTACTGAACAGAAGTGAACAGTTTCTGATTAAATTTTAGATGTTCCAGGGATTCTACTGTAAACATCGTAATTTCTAATTGTTAAGGAACATACTGGCAAGTGTTACCAGTAGGGTTGGTGGTGAAGATGCTTTTTTCTTCAAGAACAATTGCTACGGTGTCACAGTCCTGATTTACAGACATATTGAGGTGACCCAAAACCCACAGTTCCATCTCAACTTGGGTTGGTTTGGTTTTTTTACACTTTGAATTGTCTGAACAGCTGGAAGTCTTGCCCAAAATATTCTTCTGAAATGCAAACTTTTTCAAAATGCACTGGTTTATTATTTGCCAAATGGACTTTATAATCCCAATGCATATGAAGGTAACAGAATTGATAGAGCTTTCAAATGACATGTTGCTGTTCTCACACGTATCGCGACAGCTGCCACACATGACACTGTGGCCTGTGTGATGACAGCACATTCGTTTTAGAGTTACTTGGAAGGCCACAATTTTGGAAGTTGTGACAAACGAAGTCCTTGGCGTTATCTTTGAGAGGCCCTGACTGAGAGAGGGAACAAGAGAGGCCTGGGAATCAAGGCAGCAAAGACTTCAGACTGCCAGTTCTGCCACTGATTTGTAGATAACAACTCGGGCATCAGCTGCCTTCTGCAGCTCTCCAGTCTGATAAACACGGGGACAGTCGTGCCTATTTATCTAACTCAAAACAGGGCCGTGATGGATTCATTATTTGGATAGCACTCAGCGTGCTAGCCAAATGCTGCTTATCCATGTTTACCCCACTGCAACAATGTATCTTCATCACTAATAATTAACTGCTAATTACTGTTGCCCAGAATATGATGGTGGTGTTTACCACCTTACTTTTAATTTCAGTACTGATGACTACTTAAAAGTTACGTAAATATACGAAATTACAGTACATTTTCCTAATGACCCTGCTATGTCTGAGTTTGATCCTAATCATTTGTGACTGGAGTAATGAATAGTAAAGATGACCTTTTCTCTGTAGAGCTCTATAGCCAGTTTCTATTGTATTCTCAACACTTAAATCATGAAACGTAAAGGAGCCAGTCTAAGCAGGATACAGCTGGGTCGAAGCACTGCTGATGCCAATTATGCTTTGTACTTAATAATGCACAATTTACCTATTTGGAAAAAAATTCACATTTATTTACTGTCAAACAGGTGTTAAACTTTACACTGGATATTAGTGATGGGCTCATTATTAACAGGTTTACACAAAGGGATGAAAAAAGCAGAATTTTGTTGAAACAATTTACATTTCATTAGATTTTTTATCATAAAATAAATTAATTACTAAATATAGGCAGAAGGAATATGGAAGAGTAATAGTTATGTTTTATTTATTTTTTTTTAAAGGACAGGCACCTTTTATTCACGAGAAAGCTTGTGAGAAGTGTCCAGTGTCCCCTTTACCCCTGACCACCCAACCCTGATTAAAGAATGAACAGGGACTTGAGTTACAATCTTTGTTAGCTATACCAGATTTGTGCAAGGCTTGGCATAATTGGCTTCTAAAACAATTTCCTCCCCAAATTATGGTTTTTTGGCAATAAAAATTCAAAACGTAAGAATAAAAACTAACTTGTCAAAGCAGAACACTGTTTGCAGTGAAAAATAAGTGAAAACGGGTAGAGCTTGCCTTTTAAACATACTACCGTACTATGAACAGTGTAAGAAAAACAGCTTATAACATATGTGCAACCAAGAGCTCTTCACAATATTTTCTTCAAACTCTTTAAAATTATTTTTTAATGACAATTATATTTCAGTTGGACACAAATGTATTTATTTTACCCTAGCAATAGAACAAAATAGAATTTCTTTAGCCATTTTTTTCATGAGAACGGTTCATTGTACAGTTGAGGAAATATATGAAATAAGGCCTGTGGCTTGATTGCTAGTGGTTAGACATGTATTCAATCTTTGCCCTAATGGAAAAGATTTGCAGTGAACTGCAATCTGATGCAGAATGTCTCTCCTGCTTTTGCAAGTCTTGTCAGGAACAGTAAGTTACAGTAAATTTGTCCCACAGGATTTTAGAGCCTACGTCTTGTATATAATACAATGTAGGCCTAGGAAAAAAAAATGGTGCAGCCATATTTACAAATTTTGTTCACAAACTGCTGCAGTAAAATGGCTGGAAAGTGTTTATTTCTCTTTTTCTTTTCACAATTTTGTTAAATTCAGCAGCAGAAGATATCTTAAAATACCTTGTTGGTATTTCTTTTCTTTGTAACAAATAATTCATTTTAGTATACTCTGTGTATATACAAAGTTTTTGTTTTATAAAAATTCACAGAACTGCGAGGTCCAGTCAGCCCCGTCACTGGAGAACCACAGGGTCAACAGCATTGTCTCTTCAAGCAGATATGAGGGAGCCTGCACGGGGCCAATTCAGTCCTTTTAATACTTGTACGTGGCCTTTAATATTTCTTTGCTACACTATTAAAGGCTTGTCACTAGTTGCATTTGTCCTTCTCTAACATCTCCTTCTGGAATACATCCTTCCTTGTTAATGGGAATTATATAGCCGTCGCTATTACCCCTGCTGATTTGATAGTACATCTGAAGCTGGTGGCCAGCTCCTAGGTTTGGCATGCTCTTGTAGTAAATGTCCTCGTTTTCACTCCTCCTGGAGGGAGAGAGATCTTCTTCCACGTCGGGGCTGCTCTCTGGATACGGAGAGTCTCTGAGATTGGGCATGCTCGTGTAAAGAGAGTCTCTGTTGGGGGACTGGAGGTGGTCGTCAGCCTCGGCCGTCAGCTGGGAGACGTAGCTGTCGGTTCCCTCGGGCTTCACTTTCTTCTGGGGCTGGTACAGAAGGGAGTGAGTCCGCTGAGGAATGAGCGGGGCCTCGAGCTCTTTGTGGTGGAGCTCCAGCCCCGGGGTGTCGCTGTGCATCAAAGATGAGGCGTCTGCCACGATGGCGTCATCTTCGCTACTGCTCCCGCCGATCACGGCTTTGGCTGGCAGCGTGCGCTCCAGGTTGTGGTTCTTGCTGCTGCCCCGCAGGTTGTTGTGCACTAATTCTGAAATGATCATTTTCTCGAACGCGGTATCATTCAGGCTTAGTCCACAGTCTACAACTTGCACGCTGTCGTTATAGTCTCCGTTGCGCAATGAGTAGCTGTTGTTGAAATTACCATTTAGCGGTAGAGTATCCATGGCACTTGTATCCCTGGCATTGTTCAGTGAATGTCCTGAAACGGAAAAGGACAGCTCTGGTTATTGCCCGGTGCGCTTTTTACCGCTCAACTTTTTCTTTTTTAACAAAATTCTTTAATGTAGTTCAGGACAAAGTTGTACTTGGAAGTGAGACTTGAGGAAAGTTAGGTTATTGCACATTCCCAAATGTAAACAGTTGCACACCTCATAGGAAAGATGCATCTTAAAAACAGTAACGCGTATTTCCTGTGGGGAATACTGGCATTTTAATTTCTTAATTTGGTGTCAATTCTGTGACTCTTCCACAAGGAACCGTTCACTCCATGCCCTTGCATATGTAATGCAAAGCAATTCATTTGGAAACAGCTATGTTTTGAAGTACACCACCATGATTTAGAAAAAAGAAAATTAACAGAATTTGTCCTAAACAACACTAAATTAAAAAGGAATTAGATCACAGACATAACTGAAGGTAAATGTACAACATAAACCCACATAACTGGCAGGCAACTACTTTAACAACATTTCTAACATTTGTTTCCCTTTTTTTTTGAGATGAAGTAAAGAAAAGAATGAAAAAATGGATAAATACAAAGAATTTATGTCAAACAAGGACAGCCATCTTTCACACTACAGGGACCAGGGCCCACAAGCACCATCCAACAACACGATAGACAGCAGGTGGAATGACTCACTTTGGACAACTCACATCATGTCTGTCTGCTCAGGCTATCTGGCCTAAGAGTAGCTGATATATAAAAGAAAGTAAAATGATTTATTGTAACATGATGAAGAATTACTGAGCTTCTCAGCAACTTAGTCAGAGCAAGGGTTCAGCAAATTAGATTACTAAGCAATAACAGCTTTTCTTTTCCCACTTAATGTAATTTTTTTGCACTAATATTCTGTCTGCCAACAACGGCCCCGGGCTTCTAAAGGTCAAAGTTTGCCTGCAGTCTGCATCAGTCACAGTGACAGCGCTGAATGAACCAGAATAGTTAATTAAGAGTTAGCCCACAGTTACCATGGGCATGGAAGTCAAATGCAGAAATGTTAGGAATTTCTCTAAGTATGGGTCACAGAAATTAAACCAAAGAATAAATATTAGTTGTGGAATGGGAAGAGGAAATCAGCCACGGCTGATATCTCATAGCTGCTGGAGGAATGACAGATTGGGTAAGTCTGCTGGAAACATGAAAAGAAGTTTAAGGGGGGGAAATGAAGTCTTATGATGATTAAGGTCTTTATGCTTTTGGTTTTGGCTTTGTTTGGTTTTGGTAACACGATAAAGAAGAGGTTTTCCTATAGACACAAAGACATGTAAACTATGACAGCACAGTGCTTCGCAAGCAAAGGAAAAAGAAAAGAAAAATAACAAACTTTGAAAGAAATTAAACAGTCTGAAGCATGGAAAGTCAGATGGTTAGAGCACTCCTAGAAAATCACTTTATCTACAGATATGTCTGGAAGTAAAGAAAGAATGGAGTGACGTTACTGAAATGAGACTGACCACTGTGAGGCTGCTGCATTATATGCAAGGCTTGGAGGAGTATAAGAAAAAAGTTGTTTTGGAAAAGATTACACATTTCCCCGTTTTGTTGCATTTTCTTTTCTTTCATTGGTTTTTTTCATAATTAAAGCTGCAGTTTATCCTAGAAAATTCAATCTTCTTTGGAAATATTGTTTTCAATTAAAAAGTAATTGTGCTTTCTCATGAAAAGATTTTTGTCTTCAACTTTACAAAACAGAGAAATAATTTCCAAATAAATTCTGAGTAATTTGCAAATCATTTTGTATTTCTGCTATTGTTAAGTCCTCTCCATGTGTACTGATTTAAGCAGTGATGAGCGCTCTTTGAAAGGTCTCTTTAAGCTTTGATTAAACAACTTTGTAGTTTTGCAATCTCATATATGTTCCAAGATTTCTCTTGCAATGGATTTAGCTGCGCAGAACATATGGCATTTATAAAAGTAGACAACACATGGACCGCATGCTGGCATTCATTTCCCTCATGAAAGTGATTTAATTCTATAATTTTAATTCTCTTTTCTTCTGCTAAACAGATACCAAAATATATCTGATAATCCAAAATGAGTTTTCTATGATACACTGCAGAGTTAAGCATGCTCGAATATATTCAAATTGGCTTGATGAGGCAAATTTTGTCGCCCATGATCAGGTAATTCATTTGAAATCTTTCCATAGCCTGTAGCAAGATTACTGTGGGAATGTAAAAATATAAGTGAATTGTTAAGCGTTTCTGCTTGACACTGCTTCAGTTTTAAACAGCAAATTATTTCAGCATTGCATAACCTCTGTTAGCAATCGGGTTTGCTACAGACCTCATGATGTCTCCCAAAAAGCAGTACGCAAGTACTTTTTGAATGTGGAAACTTTTCATTTGCAAATTGTGAACCACTTGCCCGCTGAGTCTACTTCATGACCGCTAGTTATGTTTTAATTGTGCCCATTAAAAATCATGCTGAAAAAATTTACATTTGATAGGCAAAGTTAAGTTTTACTCCCATACTTGTCTCTCTGTAGGTTGCTAGAGGAAAGCATAAGGAAAGTAAGAAAACAAGAGAATGAAAATAGAAACTACAGTTCAGTTAAAAAGGAAACTTGAAATAAAAACTGGAAACAAGGTTTTATGAGCTCTTTATCAAAGATTTATCGTTCCAGTTACACTACAGTGATCTTATGACTCATCAAACAGTAACTGCTATATATTCACTGATGAATTGCACTGCAGTTAAAAAAAGCAACTAGATAATGCGACAACAAAATGTTAGGTAAGTGATGACACCCCTTATTCCTACAGAACTAAACTGTTCTAACTGTTAATCTCCAGATTTTCGTACTGGAAAATGATCTACCATAAAGCTGCACTATACTATAGTTTAGATCCGTTTGACGCTGGATACGATTTTCTACACTGGGGTATCCAAAGGTGTCAAGATGCCTTGCGCTGCGTTTTATATTTCAATATAATCTGTTCCAGAAGGAGATTTTTCTCAGCAACCTTTAGAGTCAACCTTATATTGCATAGACATGATACCTCTAAGTGATATATATCTTGAAGATGGGCTCTCGGACCATGGGGTGTCAGTCCTGTAATAGTATATTAAGATTTATGCCACCTGTGTTAAAAACATGGATAATTATTGGTAAATACTGTTACGGCAAAGGCATTACTATAATATAGTGCAGTTTTACAAGCTGACATCGGCAATACTGTTATTTCTCGAGCTGACAGAAATTCACAATGTACAGCTAGGGTATTGCAACTTGAGTTTCTATCTAGGGAGAAGAAGGGATTTGGAGCGAGCCAAGAAAAGCGGTTTTATTCAGGAAGTATAAGCACACCTGGTGAGTTAAACACGGGAGCTGAAGGGGCATTACATACAACAGTTTCAGCGAGCAATGTGTTATAGGGGTTGTTAGTGCCGTGTGGTCGAAGAAGAGGGTTTGTTAGTAGGTAATTGCCAGTCATTCCTAAAGCAAAAGAAACAGAAAAAAATGTCAGTTCTTTAATTTTAGGCTGACAGTTTCAATAAAGAATATTTTTTAGTCATCATGAATCATGTAGGACTTGTCAAATGTAATTCAGCTGAAAATTTCTGAATATATTTGAGCTATGTATTTGAAACGGGAGTAGGAAAATACAGTCAGATTTCAGTAATTCACAGGTGCTGTCCAAATCCCCAAAGTAAACATCTGGTGAGAGTGACATTTACTGATGTATACAAAATCACCGTTACACAAGAATAGCAATTAAATGTGTAGAGATCAAGGTACTACATAAAGCTATTAGAACTTTAAAAATGATCGTATGGAACACTTCTGTCCAGAAGTGAGACAACTGAGTTGCGCAGACTGAAAGGTATTGAAAAATCTCTTATGACAGGATCAGAGCTGTTATTCACTTTATTAAAAACACACGGACAGTGGAAGGGAATGGCTGTTTTCAAACAGACAGTGGATGACAAACTACGAGAAGCATATCTTAGTATATGCAAAAGTATGCATGCTGAGGGGAAAGCAAAATATTTGCTCTAAGAAATCAGAGCATTCACATTTTCTCCTGGGACATTCATGCTGCACGTTTATCTACCAGGTTTTAAAAAAGGAACTCCTTGAATGACAAATTTTCTTTAAGCAATGGGTTTACAAACACTGTAAGACGAAGTAAAATACTACATGAGCAGATTTTTTAAAAAATCCATTTTACATGTTAATGCAACACCGTTTAAACAACTCTTAAGACAATTAGGCAAAAAAATCAGCATATTTTAAGAAATTATTAAAAAGTCAATCTCTGATTTCTAACTACTAGAAAAAAAATGGGTTGGAATAATGACAAAAAAACCCCAAACACAAAATGCTGTGATTTAAAACACACTTTAAACATTTAATTAAGGTAAAGTTCCACTTTCTTTTCTATTGTATTGCAGAGCAGTACATCAGATCATTGTAATACAGACCTCCAGACAACTAAAGAGCCAGGTACATTGTATGGATATTTTTCCTTGGCAAGGAAAAGGCAGTATATATTCCAAATCTTAATGCTTTTGTATTACCAGAGTTACTTGGTAGCAGAAACGAGCACTAAATTCTAAGATTCAGAGAATTATTACCTGATTATGCTAATCTTATTTGAAAGTTTCTATCGGTGAATAACTAAAAGGGTTTTTTCAGTTGTACTTATTACTAGAAATGCTAACTGAAATATATTTGGCAAGGGGTTTCTTTTGTATACCATGTTTAATCTCGGTAATTATTACCTGTAATTTATAGTTAAGAGAAAGTTCCTGTTCAATCTAAAATTTTTACCACCTTTAAAAGCTTGACTTTTATTTTAAAGGCAAAGTGACACTTGCCATTAATTACTAAGCTGCCCTTATACGTATGTATCACTGAGATAGTGCAGCATTATAATTGAATAAAGATGGTATCAATTTTTCTGATCATGGCAGAACATCGAGAGTGACTTGAGATCAGAACTCTGAAATGGGGAGAAGCTTCCAAGACCTCTGTTCAGCTCTGAATTAACTGAGTGCAGCATGGTTAGAGCAAACCTCAGGAGTCCGAGACATCAAATTACGGTGAAATCCCAGACTTTTATCTATCGTGTATTTACAGGCTTTTAATAAGGCACAGGAAGAGAATGTACTCCTTTCTTGGGCATGAAAAACAGACATTTTCTACTTAGGAGAAGTTACTTAATTTTGATTTTGCGATGGAAAGATACAAGATTCAAATGAGGGGAGCCATGAGACACAGGTCTGACCCACTTCCTATATGCCAAACAGCAAAAATAGAATCATGGGCTCTGAAATCTTTCCTTCTGCAGAATACCATACTTTTTACTTCCAAAGTAAATGTCAGTTAAGTACATGTCCCTACTCCCAAATCTTGAGAAGAAACAAGGGAGGAAGACTTCCTAGTTGTGGTTGAGGAGGGCTTTACAGCAGCCCTGAGAGTGGTGAATTTGCTGGTTGAAACTTCCTGACTTGAGCAGGAACTGGCAGCAATGGGCTCAGGGATCAGGGCGACGTGGTGTTCTCCTAGGAAGGCTTTGAACCTGGCTTGCACAGAGCGGTCCTCGCTCCACTGCTACCTCAAACTGCCTTAAAAAACACAGGGGGATGGGGAGCAAGGAAAGGACATTGTGTCTTGGTTAATACCCTTGTCTTCTAACTGGACATGAGAATTAGGTTACAGACTTCAAAGTATTTGAGCTGAGAAATTTGGAACTTTGGCGTGTCTGTGCCTGAAAATCTGGATTCTATCCCGTGTGACAGGTACGATGCTCTTTAAAATAGAAAAGATAAATGCTTTACAGACATCTTTTGCATAGAAATGGTATCAATTAGATTTCACTGGGAAAATTTCTGCACCTAAAAATCATAGTCAAATATTCATTAGAATGTTACTGCAGTCATATTTCTGGTTCAGATTTAACCTATAAAGGTTAGGAAACATTTAAAATTATGATCTTGCTTTTAAGTTAAATTATTGATGAAACTTATTTAAATACATTCCCACGAATGGAAGAATTCAACTTCTATAGCAGGGGGCCAGCTGAGGGAACATGGTTTTAAAATGTGCTGGTGGATGGCTTAAAAACTCTGCTTTTAGAGAACATCTGTTCCAGAATTTTTGTTCAAAACATTCTTTTCTGTGTTAAATGATCTGTATAAAATTTAATGCTTCTACAACGGAAATGTTCCCAGTGACTGACCTTGATTAAGTGTTGAAGTGCTGTTGATGTCACCTGAGATAAAAGACGATTCGGATTGTTTTCGCACAGTGTCATTCCACATCCTCCTTATACGACTCTGTCAACATAAAGCAGTGATAGAAGCACACTGAGTTACAAAAACGTTTTTTTCCTACTTATGTGCTATTACGTAGAACATGTGTGTTTATTTTGGCCTAAAGCAAGCCCTTCTTCTAGCACAGAATGAAACTCCTGCTTTTGTTACTAAAACTCTGATTTATTAAATTTCATTTAGATGAAACATGGTGGTATAAATCTTCCTAGAAACCAGCCCCTAATTACAAGAAAAATAAGGTGTTTGCATTAGACTGAAGTAAAAGGAAATGTTTCAAAGAATCAATTTTACTACGCAGAAGTCTGTACTTGCCATCTAAGTGCTAATACTGAGAAGACAATTAGTGCTTCTGATCAGAACCCATCTCAGTAGGCTTTTTATAAATAAGGTTAATTAAAAGATGCTGTCAAAATCTGTGTTACCTGAGTACCAGAGGAATAGCGAGCACTGGTTCTTGTTGTTGATGCCTTCACTGAACTGTGGGGGCTCTCAGTTGGTAGCCCACCACAGCAGTAGGAATGTCGGAAGCATTTGCCATATTCCTTACGTACCTACGAGGTGAAGAAAATAATTACTTAAAAAGACATGAACCTTACATTGAAACTACTTACACACTTTTCAGGCAAACAGGTAATTCTTGTCTGTTGAACTGTGAGCCATTAACAAAAAGGTATTTTTCCCTACTTAGCGGCAGCATTACCAGCTATCCAGGATTTTTGAACAAATTATTTCCAAGGCATACATGCATTTCATGTAGATGTGCCTGTAAAATCATTGCTGAGTTGTAAACTAATAAATAAATTAATAAAAAATAAATTAAAGATTACATATAAATATAGAATTATTATAATAATTATTATTATAATAATTGG